TTGCATTTCTCTAATGACAGTGATGATCAGCATTTTTCATATGTTTGTTGGCTTCATATATATCTTCTTTGAAAAGTGTCTGTTCATACCCTTTGCCCAGTTTTGGATGGATTTGTTTGTTTTTTTTCTTGTAAATCTGCTTTAGTTCTTTGTAGATTCTGGGTATCAGCCCTTTGTCAGATAGGTAGATTGCAAAAATTTTTTCCCATTCTATTGGTTGCTGGTTTGCTCTAATGATTGTTTCTTTTGCTGTACAGAAGCTCTGAAGCTTAATTAGATCCCATTTGTCTATTTTGGCTTTTATTGCCATTGCTTTTGGTGTTTTAGTCATGAAGTCCTTGTCTGTTCCTATGTTCTGGATCATTTTGCTGGGTTTTCTTCTAGGGTTTTTATGGTGTTAGGTCTTATGTTTAAGTCCTTAATCCATCTGGAGTTAATTTTAGTGTAAGGTGTCAGGAAGGGGTCCAGTTTCTGCTTTCTGCACATTGCTAGCCAATTTTCCCAATACCGTTTATTCAACAGGGGATCCTTTCCCCACTGCTTGTTTTTGTCAGGTTTGTCAAAGATTAGATGGTTATAGATGTGTGGTGTTGCTCCTGAGGCATCTGTTCTGTTCCATTTGTCTATTTCTCTGTTTTGGTACCAGTATTATGCTGTTTTGATTACTGTTGCCTTGTATAGTTTGAAGTCCACCATGTGAGGCTTCCAGCTTTGTTCTTTTTGCTTAGGATTGTCTTGGCTATGTGGGCCCTTTTTTGGTCCCATATAAAGTTTAAAGTGATTTTTTCCAGTTCTGTGAAGAAGGTCATTGGTAGTTTGATGGGGATAGCACTGAATCTATAAATTACTTTGGACACTGTGGCCATTTTCATGATATTGATTCTTCCTAACCATGAGCATGAAATGTTTTTCCATCTGTTTGTATCCTCTCTTATTTCCTTGAGAAGTGGTTTGTAGTTCTCCTTGAAGAGGTCCTTTACCTCCTTTGTTAGTTGTATTCCTAGGTATTTTATTCTCTTTGTAGCAATTGTGAATGGGAACTCGCTCTTGATTTTGCTCTCTGTTTGTCTGTTATTGATGTATAGGAATGCTTGTGATTTCTGCACATTGATTTTGTATCCTGAGACTTTGCTGAAGTTGCTTATCTGCTTAAGGAGATTTTGGGCTGAGATGTTGGGGTCTTCTAAATATACAATCCTGTTGTCTGCAAATAGAGGTAATTTGACTTCCTCCTTTCCTATTTGAATACCCTTTTTCTTTTTCTTGCCTGATTGTTCTGGCTATAACTTCTAATACTATATTGAATAGGAGTGGTGAGAGAGGGCATCCTTGTCTAGTGCCAGATTTCAAACGGAATGCTTCCAGTTTTTGCCCATTCAGTATGATATTGGCAGTCGGTTGGTCATAAATAGCTTTTATTATTTTGTGATACATTCCATTGATACCCAGTTTATTGAGAGTTTTTAGCATAGAGCACTGTTGAATTTTGTTGAAGGTCTTCTCTGCATCTAATGAGATAATCATCTGGTTTTTGTCTTTGGTTCTATTTATGTGATGAATTATGTTTATAGACTTGCGTGTGTTCAACCAGCCTTGCATCCCTGGGATGAAGCCTACTTGATGGTGAGAGATACGCTTTATGATGTGCTGTTGCAATCAGTTTGCCAGTATTTTATTGCAGATTTTTGCATCTATGTTCATCATGGATATTGGCCTGAAGTTTTCTTTTTAACCATTTGTAGGTGTATAATTCAGTGACATTAAGCACTTCACATTGTTGCACAACTATTACCACCATCCATCTCTAGAACTCTTTTCATCTTGCAAAGGCGAAACTGTACCCATTAAACACCTACTCCCCATTCCTCCCTCTCCCCAGTCCCTGGAAATCATCACTATATTTGTGTCTTTATGAATTTGAATGTCCTACTCTTGGTATCTCATAAGAGTGGAATCATATGTATTTGTCCCCTTGTTACTGGCTTAATGTCACTGGCATAATGTTTTCAAGTTCTCGATGTTGTAGCATAGTCAGAATTTCCTCCTTTTTAAGGCCGAATAACATTCCATTGTATGTGTAGAATACCACATTTTTTGTCAACACATTCATAAAACCTAGCTCAAGCCTGACATTCTATTTGAAGCCTTTGCTGAGGCAAAATGGTTTACTTACTCCTTTGTGGTATCATCATACCTCCCCCTCACATTTTAAATAGCACTCATCATACCCTATGTATTTGCTTGTATGCCATTGCCCTCACTTCCTTTAGTTGGTCAGGTCCTTGAGGGTAATGGCCCTCTCTGGTTCTCTTTGTATACCCAGGGCCATATCTAGAACTAACAAATAGGCAGTACTAAATAAAATTTGGGTTGGACGACAGTGGTAGGGGGAGGACATTCCATTCAACTATTTGTAGAAAGATAAGGAAGTGAGACATAGCAAAACAAGTTCATAGAACTTTTGGTGGTTCCACATTCCTGGAGTACAGAGCATGTGAAGCAAGTGATTAGAGAAATCCCTTGGATGGAATTATAGGGTAAAAAGACTCAAGAAAATGGTATACTAAAATGCTTAGGTCAATTTGTGGATACAGTTGAAAGAAAAATGCTAAGTAAAATGCTAAGCGAATGGTGATCTTTTTGGTCTTTGGTTAAATTTTTATTCTGTTCTGTGATATAAGAACTGAGAGTTATTAGTGCTGATTTATTCCGGTGAATATTCATAGAAATGCAGATAGCTTTTAGAATGACAATATTCCTAAAAGTCTGAATGGGGGAACATTCCTTTATAGAAAAAATGTCTCAGGGTAGTTGACTTTTCTTTGTTTTTTAATGTGTCTGAAGGAACTTCTGTGTGCTTATTTTTGTTGTTATTCTTTGTGTGTGTTCAAACTGTTTATGTATCAATATCCTTGTCTATGAGTGCTTTGTTTGGTGTAGATATGTATTTAGATCTATATTTATTTCTTTTACAGAATACTTATCATAACATCTTTCTTTATTTTCCCTTCGTCTTAGTTTTTCATTCCCATTTTTTGCTTCCTCTAGTTTTTTCCCTTACGGATTTTTTGATCTTTGCTCCTCTCTTTTCTTCTTTTCATTTCTATTTACCTTTCCTCTTTTCTTTTTCTTTTAAATTGAATGCTATATAGGAATGATCATTCTAGATAAAATGGAAAAATTTTATCCATTTTAAATGGCTATATGATAATAAATTCCTTGATATATGATAGGATGATAAAATGATTGTTCCAGATATAATAAAATGAAAAAATCAAAAGTTAAAGAGTTACCTCAACCATGGTATTTCCTTTACCTTTAATTAGGGAAACTCAGAGCCAAATTTGTATTCATCATTGAAAGTGCCAGTGGAATTACTGAAATCAGAAGTCTTGGTGGCATCGCAAATTCATCTCTCTTATTCTTCATATTGAATTAGTCACCAGAGCAGATCCACTCTTCCTCCAAAATATTATTCTAAACTTACCCTTTTTCTCTAATCCCTTTGCTGCTCCCCTCTTCCAAGCCCTCATATTTTATATTTGTTAATGAAATAGCATCTCATCTTAACTTCCTGCTTTTTTACTTCTAAGCCACTGTATATACAGCCAAGAGCATAATCTTTAACGCTTACAGACATAATTATGCCCTCTCTTTTAAAAATATATCTTCTCCTCCATTGTTTACACTTAAATTTGAGGCTCAGTAACTTAGTATTCAAGCCCATGTGAGAAGCTGAGTTTCTTGTATTCACCCAGAGCTCCAGTAATCCTGAATGACTTACAGTTTTCTGGATGTGTTTATTGATTTTCTCAAATTATTCCTTTTACTTGACCACCTGTTGACCTCTTCCTACTCAAGCCTGAATGTTGTCATGAAAGAGAATGGATCAGTTTCCTAACATTCCTGCAAGGTCAAGTTGTGAAGATGGTACATACTTGAGGCAAACGAACACTCTTTATTATTTAGGGCCTTGGACATATATTCTTAATGCAACCTTCTTATGAATTAAGTGAAGCAATATGTAAGTGTAAGCACTTCTCTTACCTCTGCACTAGAAGCTAGCAAATGGACTTCTTGTCTCCTTTCCTTTGGTTTACACTCTTATCTGGGCCCTACCAGCCTAATGACAATAGAAGCATGGAAATATAAACTTAAGAATAGAACTCGTTGTTTTGCTTTGTTTTGTTTTGTTTTTCCCTAAAGGTGAGGTCAGAATTGGCCTCACTTTTCCTTTTTTCTTGAAGTACACCCTCTTCCTTCTAGGTCTTTCAGCCATGGTATGGTAGGGTTTAAGTTGGAGGGGTTGGGGAGAAAAATCCTCAGGCTTGTATTCACTAGCTACATGGCAGAGAAGAGAGAGAAAGTGGTTTAGAGGAAATAATCCCACAACAGGACTTTTCTTTGAAAATCAGAGTGTTATAAGTACGTTTTTATAATTGAGTAAAAAAATGGGAAGGACTTTGCAGATGTTTTCTAATAAGTAATGATTGTTAGGCTTGGATTTCGGTCAGAAATGAAAACGTATTAAAGAGTGGTCAGTATAAATGGAATTGGTTGAAGAAGAGGAGAAGCTTTGCTTATTAAGTACCTGTTAATGTTACCACAAATTAATCTTTATAAGAACTCAAGGAGGAAACATTATTGCTAACATTTTAGATGGGGAACCAATCTCCAAACTAGGCAGTTAATTGACCAGTCCAAGTTTGTATATTGGTAAATTATTGGGGTGAAATGTGAAACTAGGTCTCTCTGATCTTCTAAAACATGCACTGTTACCATTATGTCTCTTTATCTTCAGAACTTCTGTTTACCATATCTATTACCAAAGTGCCATATTTGAGATAAGGTTAGATGAATATAATGTTAAGTGAATATATAAATTTAATAAGCATTGATTTGTAGCTTCACTATGTTTCCTGTTCTGCAAATTCTCCTCACAGGGATAAGATCCGAACTTGTTTGAATTCTAGAATATAGACTTATATTTTATGTTTTAGGACTAGCGACAAAAGGAGAAACTTGGCCAAACAAAAAGCTGAGGCTCAAAGGAGGCTCTATGGTCAAAATTCAATTAAAAGGCTCTTACCAGGCTCCTCAGACTGGGAACAGCAAAGACACCAGTTGGAGAGGCGGAAAGAAGAGTTGGTATGAAAGTTTTAAGAAAGTACCCACAATTTAAATTGCGTGATTCACTTGTCAGTTTTTATTTGTAAAATTTTTCTCTTTTCCAGAAAGAGAGACTTGCTCAAGTACGAAAGCAGATCTCACGAGAAGAACATGAAAATCGACATATGGGGAACTATAGGTAACTGTGCTGCTATTTTTGTATAGACTGAAAAAATGAAGTATCAAAGCAATGATTCTTCATGTTTTAATCTTGTGTGCTTATTTTAAGCATTGTTCTTTCATTCCAGTCTGGTGCTTTTTGCTTACTATTTTTCAAGAATAAAAGGTAGTCAGCAAGGAGGATGGTTCAGCCTTGACAGCACTCCCGCTGGCCAGCCTCTGGGTGGTTGTAGGAGGTCTTTTTAACCTGCTGTTATCCTGTGACTTTATTTAGTTATAGTGAAGTGTTTTAAAAAACGTCAGAATTCAGGTATCTTGATATTATTCCTGCCAATCCATAGTGTTTACTGTACTTTTTCAGGAACCAGGCAAATAATGAAAATGTTTGAAGAAGTTAGATATGAGACAGTGGAGAGGGCTGTGGGCTGTGCTAAGCTGGAACTCTTCTATAATATCACCCTTGACAGGATCAACCCCCTCCCCCCAACCCAACTCATTGTGTTCTTGGAAAGATTGCCCACTTTCCAACTTTTGACATTGCCTGAGCAGGTTAAAGGAATGTGTGAGGGCGTTCTTGCACTCATGGTAAGACGTTCTTTCATGGCCTTAACACCATCAATAGTAGTAATGAGAACACCCACCCACTCTACCTCTACCCACTCCTCTCTGCTGGAGAGGCAAATTTTATCACTACAAAAGAGATAATCAGAACCAATGCCTACATTTTTGTATGCTTCAGTAACCACACTAAGAATAAAACTTCTGCAGTATCCCTTATTATCTGAACACTGTCCTATAAAGTTCAATATTTCTTCAATTTGCCCAGTCACCATTCTTCTCTGACCATGTCCCCCAAACTAAACCCTTATACTGTGCCTTCTAGAACTGCATTGTTTAATGCTAATTCTCTAGATAAACTTTACTTGTGGATTTGTGCCACTATTAATGATTATAGAATGAAAACCTTCATAAAGTTCTAAAAATACTCTTCATAGTGTCCACTCTGCAAATACTCACATTAGATAGTTACTAAGTGAAACTATTAGGCCAATTATCAGCTTTCTGTCTGGAGGTTTAATATTTAATATTATTTTACACTAATCAGTATAGAAAAGCTTATACCTGACAACGTGACTAGTATAGAATAGGAGGTCGAGGATAGTCTGTGTAGTTTATCTTAACTATTGAGCTATGACAGCTTCTTTTTTAAAAAATTGGTTTATCTGATTTTGCTGCAGACGAATTTATCCTCCTGAAGATAAAGCACTACTTGAAAAGTATGAAAATTTGTTAGCTGTTGCCTTTCAGACCTTCCTTTCAGGAAGAGCAGCTTCATTCCAGCGAGAGCTGAATAATCCTTTGAAAAGGATGAAGGTAAGCTAATGTTTATATAGAGAAAAAAGAATAAAGCTAAACAATATGTCTTTGCCGACAAGCCACCTTTCCAACATATAAAAACATTTTACTTTTAAGATAAGCTTTCCTCAAGCTTTTCATTTTAACACTTAGTAACATTTCATGATGAACCAACTTATTTCATAAATAAGGTATGTACCAAGACAAATTATGTTGTAATATCACTAGAATAACATGTCTTATTACATAGATGTATATATGTAACTGTATAAAGAAACCCATGGAATTAACCTAGTGGTTTGTAGCATTCTTGTTTTTTGATTATAACAAACATTATGTAGTATTTTTTTCTTGATATATGATAGGTCTGGCATATGAGAGGAAGTAAATGAAACACACACACACACACACACAAACACACACACAGTCTAATCTGTACACCTTAGTAAAAGGTCCATCAGTTTTCTATTACAGCATGACAAACCACTTCATTTATTTGCTCATTACTCTGCAATCTTTGCTGGGCACAGTTGAGTGGTTCTTCTGCTGGTCTTCCTTGGAGTGAATCATATGGTAGCATGTATTTGAATGCCCAAATCGGGCTAGAAATCCAGGGTAGCTGCACTCACATGTCTGGTGTGTCAGATAAGATAGTTGGAACATCTGGGAGCTGGCTGGATCTCTTTGTCCCTACATAGTCTCTGAGGAGGGTAGTGAGAGGGAGGATTTCAAGAAGATTATTTTTGTCCTACCAGCTCTGTTTTAGACCTGATCTCTGCCTACCAATGTTCAGACTTGACAAATGACCCCAAAGAAGAGAGTGGCCACTCATCTCTACTCTAGGAAGAACTTGTTCCTCTTTGGAATTTAGTTTTTTTACATTACTTCCTACAGCTTTCTGGTGTTTTAGAAAATATGATTGTTTAGCTTATCTGGCTTTTTCTGGTTGTTATGATAAAAGTATTATCTGTAATATTTCTCCTAAACAGAAGTAGAACTCCTTGAGTTTCTTTTTAACTATATTGTAATGCTATCTGCGGAATTCTTTGTAGGATGATTATTTAATAAAAAATGTATAATAAGAATCTTTTGGTATTTCAATAGCTAAATTTTCTTAGATTGGGACAAAGGGTAACTTATTTTACACATTTTTACTGCACAGTGAGATTTTGAGTTTCTTCAGAAACCTTTTCTAGAACACTTTCTTAACTCAGTAATACAGTTGATTATACCTCTTTCAGTGTAGCTAATATACTCATATTTTTCTGGCTTGCTCAATATCCACTCGGTATATGTTTTTACAAAATTTCCTTTTGGTTGAGAACATGACCCTAGAAGAACACAAGAAAAGTATTAGGGCACTTGTGGCTTTGTGCCACCTTTGATGACTAGAGAATGAAAACCTTTTAAAGTTCTAAAAATACTTTTATGCAATCAGTAAAATTTTGAAAGCATTTCATTAAATAGTGCCCAGTCAGCAAATTCTCACATTAGAATGTTTCTAAGTGAAACTATTAGTCCAATAATCAGTTTCCTGTCTGGAGGTTTAATATTATTTTGCACTAATCTGTATAGAAATGACTGATAAACTTGTAATCTGGAAGTTAGCATGAACTTTCCAGAAATTTTAGTGTCCAGTGCACTAATTTATTGAAGTATGATACTCTAAAATTTTAATACTATACTGTTCTATAAATATACATTTGTTTATGAGAATACAGACTAGATTTTGGCTATGCATTAATTGTAATGCCAGATTTTAGTGAAAGTTTCAAGAGAATTTTCCATGACTCTTTAATATTTCTCCTTTGATCTCAGCAATCTTCACTAAATAATTTCAGGAATTCTTACTCTGCATTATTTTGTGGAGATAAATCAACTTGGAAAAATTCTAGAGTCCATTAGTAATTGTAATTTTAATTAGAATATTTTTTGAAGGAGGAAGATATTTTGGATCTTCTGGAGCAATGCGAAATTGATGATGAAAAGTTGATGGGAAAAACTACCAAGGCTCGAGGACCAAAGGTGCAGTATATCTCTGTCTTCCTTAGTTATCAAAGTAGATGCTACTAGCCCTTGATACTTCTCACTATATGGATGACTGGTGCTGCTTTAAAGCAACCATAGGGACTGTGTGCCCAGTGCAGGTAGGGTTGGAAAGAAGATGGTATCTTATACTCAGGAGTTTTGTTTTGTTAGTTTTATTCATCATTTTCATTATTTTCCTGATGTCAGTGAAAATACTGTGAGTCAGGGCCAAAAGGGAACGAGAGCTAGTACTCTTATTCTAAACTAAGTATTATACTAAACTAAACTAGGTATGATACTCATACCTGTAGATAGATAATTATCAAATAAATGGGTAGCATTATAAATAAGGCAAATCATGAATCTAAAGACCCTTACTAGGAGCCTCATCTTTTGCTGACCTAGCAACGTTGACTTTATTTTAGTTAAAATAGGTGTAGTTCCTAGAAATAAGTAGAAAGCTGTCATGTAGGTGACATCTACATATTCTTTTTTTTTTTTTTTTTGGATACAGGTCTCACTCTGTTACCCAGGTTAAAGCCCAGTGGTGTGTTCATACCTCACTGCAGTCTCACACTCCTGGGCTCAAGTGATCCTTCTGCCTCAGCCTTTCTGAGTAGCTGGGACTACAGGCATATACCACCATGCCTGGCTAATTAAAAAAAAAATTCTTTTTTTTTTTTTTTTTTTTTTTTGTAGAGGTGGTGTTTTGCTGTGTTGCCAAGGCTGGTCTTGAACTCCCGGTTTCTGGCAATTCTCCTGCCTCTGTCTACCAAAGTGCTAAGATTATAGGCGTGAGCCACTGCATCCAGTGTTGTTGTTCTGATATGTCAAAGTCTTGCTAGTAGAATAGGAAGGAGTTTGATTTGAACAATCTTGTAATTTTTATTTTATTCCATTTATATTTCAGAATTACTATACTATCCCTGTGTCCTTAGACACGTCATGTTCTTTCATATTTTCATGCTTCTGAAATGCCTTCCTACTAAAAAAAAAATCATTGACTTGTTGTTTGATTAGAGGCCCTTTCCTATTTCAGCAGAACCACTGCTGCCTGTGTGAAACCTTCCCTCATTTCCCCAGTTAGGCTTAGACCCTCCCTTCCCTCTTTCTCCTGCTGTTTCATAAATAACACTTTTATACAGCAGTTGTGACAAGTAATTATTTGCACATTTGCCTAAGTATGAGGTTGTAAGTTCCCTGAGGGTAGCAAGTAGATTTTCATCTTTGTAACTCTAGAACCTATCCAGTGTCTGACACACAGTAAGTTTTCAAAATCCGTTAGTTCATTTTGTTAAATATATCCGTAAGAATCTCATTGGCTAGTGGAAGAGCAGACAGGTAAATAAAAAAACGGGATAATGTGGCAAGTACTATAATAAAGGGAGTGTAAAGTGCCACAGCAGCATAGAGAAGAAAGGGGTTGGTAGCATGTGGATAGCTTCAGAAAGGTAATACTATTAGAACTGGATCTTGAAAAATGAGTAGTGCTTTAAGCATTAAGAGAAGTGGAAGAACATTTAGGATAGACAGAACACTAAAGGCAAAGACATGAAGTTATGATACTGTATAGGATGTTGTAGAAACATGAAAAGTTTGGTATGACTCAAGTGGAACGTTCTTGGACAGTGAAATGATACAGGTGGGCCTGGTAAGAGATACTTAACTGGTGGAGATCTTGGATGTCAGGGACCGTTCTGAATTATGTGCTGTATATTGAGGCATTGTGGAATATGTCATTGATACTTCCTTTGGAAGAAATATATTTTAGAGTATCTGTAAAAGTGAATACTTGCAGGAGTTATGGCATCATTTGGGAAAACACTGGAAGTTCCTAAGCTTTGTATATTAATTATTGCTGTTTAGCAAACCAGACATGAGATATCCTGGAGGCACAATGTTTCTGGCAGAATGGCAAATGCAGAAGCCTTAAGACAGCTGTATATTGTCTTATATTTTCCTGTGTTTCATTTATATAAGGCTTGTCATCCAAACAAAACTATAACCTCTTGGGAGGAAGAATTCACTTTGTCTAATTTTTTCAGCTCCTTTCATTCTAGGCAAGTTGTGGGAATTAACAATGTGTTTGTTGAAATGAACTAGATATTTCCTGTAGTTGTTGAAGCCAGCTATATTTCAAAGTTGTTGAAGTCTGCATAATCAGTTTGAACTAGAAGCATTTTTATAACTTTTAACTTTATGTTGTTTACCAAGGGTCTAAAGTGAGCCAAACTTCAAAGCAGCCATTCATTTTCAGAGAGACAATATCATACACAAAACATTAATTTCCAGTGTCTTTACTGGTAGAATAATTGGAGATAATAAAAATTAAATAAAACTGGTACTTGTAATAGGAGAAATAACAACTTTTCACTATTTTGAGAATATAAGAAACATCAACTAGCTACATAAAAATAAATACCACATAAAGTATTAGGTTGGTGCAAAAGTAATTGCAGTAAAATAATAGCAATGTTCTTTTTATTAAGTTGGGTGACAGGCATGTGGTTGTTTATTCTTTATACATTTATAAATTTTCAACATATGGCCTATTTCATAATAAAATTGGACCTAAAAAATAGGTGATATGCCATAACTCAATGCCAGTTTATAAATTCCAGTTTGTAGTAAAGACACTGTGTAGAGTTCATGTTGCTGTGACTTCTAGTTAATTATTGCTTGAACAGTGTATTGGTCAAAAAGTCCCAAGTGCATATAAGACATAAAGGTTCAGCCATACATTTCCCCTTGTGATACTTTATAGGGTCGAATAACTCATTATGTAGTCAGGCTCTTTAAGAAAACTTAAAGCTGTTTGCTACATGAAGGAAGGCACTACTAGCAAGCCTGATTATGCCACTGTTTCTTCTGGGTATGCTAAACTTCTGAGGAAACAACTTTCCTCTAGAATTCATGTTCCTTAAGACTGTCAAAATGTTTGATGATTATGTTACTGGTAAATGTTTTTATGCATATCTCTTTGAACATTGTCAGTACTTAGTAAATATTAGACCATCAGAAGGAGCACATACTTTTAAATGCAAGTTGGTACCTTACTGAATTAAACTACTTTGCTGCTTTGGTTATTTTTCATCCTTTGCAAAGGCTATAAATTTAAGAAGATGATGTTTTTTGGCTTACTGTGTATTCCAGGTACTTCATGAAATGCTATTTCTCTCTTTATCTTTTATTCTGCACTGTTACACTAGAGGGTATACCTACTTTCAGTGAAATCCCATGCTCTCCAAGGATTTCATTATAGTGTATGCTAACATCAAAACATTTTTTGTTTGATTTAACAGAGAACAAGCAACTAGTATACAACTGAAGGAACCTCTCCCGTCAGGAATAGGAGGAATATGGTGTGTGTAATAAATAGTTTCTTAAAATGACTGAGTTATAAAACTGTCTTGTTCTTGGTTATGCACATTCTTTCTGAAGTGAAGCTGTCCCATGTCCCTTTTCTTCCATTCCTTCAGCTGGCATCATTGGAAACACATTGATTGGGAGGACTAGAAACAAGTGATTCTAATAGGGATAGTGGCACATGACAGCATGGCATTTTCAATCTTTACAGATTTTCCCTTCTATCTTAGAGGAATTTGTCCTTCCTCCATGAAAATTTAGCCATACTGACCTTCATATTATATTATTAATTTTTAAAATGTAGCATGGGCAGTGAGAAGTTTTGTCAGCCTATTATGGCGAGAACCTATATGTCAGAGTTAGGAATACTCTGAGAAAAGACATCAGTTGTTCCTGACCAGTTTAGGAAGTGGACGATTAACTAAATTAACTACAAATTTTATTTTTATAAATATCCACAGCCAGTTAGTCATGTAAGGGATACCTAATTTCTTGCAGCACATTATCTGAGTGGATAGGCTAACAGGCAATGTTTTGGTATGTGGCCTTATTTATAAAGTGGTTTCTCTGGCTCCTTCCTTCTTACTCTCTTTATCCTTCTTGCCCCTCTTTCCCCTCCCCCCCACCCTGGCCCCACAGATGCGCTTGCACACATTTATTGAGTGACTCTGAATGTTAATGATATGGCAAAGGTGTATCTCTGAGTCTTGATGAGTAATTTCTGTTATGGAATGAAGAAAAGCTGATTATGTTTCTGATTTTTATATTTTTATCTCAAATATTTTCCCTTTATTTTGTTATTCTTTGTTTACAGATACTCCGACCCTTTATTCCAATCATGTAGGAACAGCACATTCCTCATCATGACTATGTCATTTAAGAAATAATATTTTGCAGAAACAGAACAATCAATGCATAGCACTGTAGGTTAAGCAGCATGGCAGCAGGAGCATTTGGGGAGATTCTCAACTTCAGTAAAAAGCAGCAAGCATAAGGGGGAAATTAGAAATAGTAACTAATCATATGAATAAGCCTTTTTAAAGAATTCTTAAAAAAATAACACATACCCCTCTTTTTAGCCTCTGTGTTCTATGCCTGAGAGTACTGAGATAATGAAAAGACAGAAGTACTGCAGCAGTGACAGCAGTTATGATAGTAACAGCGGCTCTTCAGAATCTGACGAAAATGAAAAAGAAGAGTACCAAAATAAGAAAAGAGAAAAGCAAGTTACATATAATCTTAAACCCTCCAACCACTACAAATTAATTCAGCAACCCAGTAAGTCAATTTCTTCTAATTTAGATGTTATATCAAGAATTATGAAACTGAAATTATTAAACTCAATAAAAGGTCCTTGGGCCAAATGAACCCTGCTGTGTGTGAGAAGACCTGGATTCCATCTTACTTCCTTTCCCTAAACAGACTCAGGCACATCCCTTAATCCCTTTGAAGATCTGCAAATAGAAAACGAAAGGGCTGAATTAAGAATCTATTCTTCTATATTTCATCATTTTTGTTAGGTGCCAGATTTTTGCCTGGGTTTTGTAAAATGTGCCTCATGGTTAATCTGATGATTACATGTCTTTTAAGCCAATATATTCTCTCTCATTTAATTTCTACCTCTCTACTTTTTTCACCCACTTTGTTTTATACTGTCACTTTTATATATATAAGTACGTGTCTTGCTAGGCATTTTACTTGAATGGTTCTATAAGTCACATAATTGTGAAATAGTTGAACTTTTGTTCCCTCCCATTTTCATCACAGGTGAACACTTAAGTCAGGGCTTATGATGTGTAGGAAGTACTTAGGAGAGCAGTCAACCAGCTGCTCCATCTCCTTCCTTTCCTGCTTTCTTTTCTCTCCTTCTACCTGTATTTCTTTTTACATTCTCTGTGTCTTTCTTTGTCTCATCTTTAATTTATTCATCAGTTCCAAATGTGCAATATTTTGTCTGTGAGTTTTCTTTCATCCCCAAATGTCCAGTGTGGGATTGCTGTTTGCCTAGATTCAACTGGAAAACCCCTTCTTGATGCTGCCTCCAATCCAAGACTTCTGAACCCTTGTCTTTCATATCTCTATTTGCCTTGTGCTCCACTGTCCTAGGGTTCCATTAAAGGAACCAGTTCAATAATGCAGTGAACACAGTTGTGAGCCCTTGTTGACCCTCAGCAATGTATTTAATATGTTAACTTCCCTGATAACGTGGTTATTTTAAAACTAGTCTTAAACAGTTATGGCAAAATGCATGAAGAATAAAGAACCGACAGATGAAGCTTTTAGAGGAATGGTCTTTGTTTACACATTATTCTCTAAATAAATATGCTACTACTTCATATCTTTCATGGTTTCTGTCTTTGGAGCGGAATTGATGTATTGTGTTCTGTTTCATTTATTTATTTACTCATGCATTTAAGAAATGTTTGTTGAGCACCAATTACACAGTTTGTAAGCTATTTTATCACTTGCTTCTTTTTTTCTTAAGGATTCCTTAAATACTTCCAGTGTGTCTTTGTGTAAGTATGCCTCTGTGTTGGTTTTAGAAGCTGACATTTTTACTCCCAAATTTGGTCAGTTTTAATTCCCTTTCCTATCAGCTGGTGTGTACCTCCCTAATGGCATGAACTGATCGGGGATGAGGACAGGTTGGAGAAAAATTTGCTAACATTCCTATAGCGCTGAGATTGTTCTTTTTTCTCAGACCAATAGGTTAACAAATTGAGACCAGGCAATAGTGCACTAAAATATACAGATTTTTAAAATGTTTTTTAAGTGTGAATTTTCATTTTAAATCTAGCCTAATTTAATAAATATCTTTTTTATTAGTTATATTTTCTTTTTATATTCAAGAGGAATTGCAACAAGTCTTTCACTTTGTTTTATATTCTTTCTTTAATCTTACTAAGAAGCATTTTAGCCACAAATCCTACTTGAGTTTTGTCTCCAGAGTGATGCTGATGATCAAGGACAAAATCCAGATTATGTGTAACACTTTCTCTTGTAGATAGTTTGAAAAATTCCAGCTTGTTGCAGCTTCAGAGGATATGCAAGTTGCAATGATTTTTTTGTGAATCTACTCAAACATCATTGGCATGTCTAGCTACTTAGTTATTCTGTCTGAATTTCTAGCATGTGTAGGAAAAAAAAGAAACCTGTGATGATTCAAGAAAAGGAGATTTTCCTTCTGCCCAGCGATCAGGTTATATACAACCAAACCATTACCATAAGTCCTCAAAGGTAGTAGGACTACAGTGCAGTTACTAGCACATGCCTTGGGTATTTTCTTAGTTTAAGTTTGATCTTGGTGCACATTAAATATGTGCAATTTTTTATAAAAAAAAAAATTGACCAGTGGTGTGTTCCTCACATGGCCCTTCTCCCCTTCTCTAGAAACACAGAAACAGTGTCCTTTTGAAAAGTGGCGAGAGTTTCAGGTTAAGAAGGAAGTTAATGTTGGAACAAAGAGAAGGGTTTAAAAAAATATTTTATAGCTTTAATGAGCATACCTTTTTGTACTCTCTCAAATTTAATTTGGAAGTACATCTCTAAATATAAGGTTTTTATCTATTCCCTTATAAAGGTTTAAATTTTTTTCAACAGCTAATGAAGAGAAATATTTGGGTATTCAACCTGACTTCATGTGAGTTTTACTACATTATTTAATTAATGAAGATATACTCCCCAAGCAGAGAAAGAATATACAACAGAGGATGTATAGACCATATGAGCTGAAAAAAGATAAAAATATTGACAGTATTGAGTGGTGATCTATTTCCCTGTGTCAGGAGTAAAAATTTATCTAGAACAGTTGGTTTTCTTTCTTTGATGTTCTTATTATGCATTCGGGAAGATATTTTATGGTTTCCCCTAGATACTTGTTCTGATAACAACCCTTTGGATCCATATGTTTTTTCCTTCACTTAAGTCTTTTACTACTGGAATTTAACCTACTTAAAAGAAATTCTTTACTCTTGTGAATTAGAATACTCTCTGCTCAGTACTATTTATAATAACAGATTCTGTATTTAAACTGCATTAGGATAATCCGTATATTTTTCTTTTATTTTTTTTTCATGGGTTCTAAATTCTGTAACTTACCTATTTAGCCTGCCCACTCTCTATACTCCTTTACAACCCTCTCTATGAATCTTCATGTAAATTAGTCAATCTCAAACCTATACACAGACTTATAAGTGACCAGTCAAATCCCAAGGGATAGTGGATAGCCTCATGGTATTATAGAAAAAGGGAAGACACTGGGATTAGATAGGGTCAGGATTGAAACCTGAGCTTGACCACTTTCTTGCTGTATGACCTTGAAAAAGTTCTTTCTCTGAGCCTCTGGGCAATGGAGATACCTACTTCAGAGGGTTTCCATGAGGACTAAGATAAAAATGTAGTACCTAGCACAATGCTTGGCTTATAGAAGGTGCTCCATAAATGTTAATTTTCCTTTCTTCTGGTTCATTAATCTCATGTTTCGAGGATAAAATGTTGAAGGATTGTTTATAGTATTATTCCCACAAGAGCCATTTTTTATACATCACAAGGGTTCTTCTGCAACAAGTTCACTGTTGTTGGAAAATTTATTCCAAACTCATATTCTCAAGATGATGCCTACGCTTTGACGTTTATTGCTGCTCCGCTACCAGCTGCTCTAATCTTTAGTTTATATAAACTGAATATAGTGAAAAACTTGTATTAATACTGCTACTGTAGTATCCTTCTTCTCCATCTCTGATAGGCTCCATAAGGCGTTCAGTCAGTTGCCCTCGGTCCATCTCTGCTCAGTCACCTTCCAGTGGGGACACCCGCCCATTTTCTGCTCAACAAGTGATATCTGTGTCACGGCCAACTTCTGCATCTCGGTCACATTCTTTAAACCGTGCTTCCTCCTGCATGAGGCATCTGCCTCACAGTCATGATGCCTGCTCTACCAACTCGCAAGTGGTAGGTCATCTGTTTTGCTCTTTTAAGACTACAGGGAGCTCTGTATTCAGAATCTAGGTGGCAAAGGGGATCAGCTGAGAGGAGGACAGAGTGAACCTCAGATCCTTTCCATAATTCAACTCATGACCTCTTGGAATTTGGATTGTTCACCTTTCTTAGTTTACAATTTAGTATGACTTTTAAAAGGTTCAGACTTTATCACATAACTCAAAGATGAACACTAAGGATAGTGTTATTTTATTTTCCATTTGCTGATATAGTAGGATAACATTATTGAAAATTTCCTGAGTAAATGTGTGGTTTTGCAGTATATTGTGCAGCCTATCTTTAAATTTGAGAAAATTTGGAAAATTTTACTTAATGTGACAGTTGATTAATAGGTTAAAAAATGATAAATTCTCCTTAGAGCACTTAAGTATAATGCTATTTATAATGTGTTCTGTATATTAAATTAACATATAGTATTCCATTGTTCGCATGAGTCCCAGAGATTTGGTACGCAGAAAGTAGTGAATGTAATTTGTAAGAAGGCTGACTTTTAGATGCTCAGATAGCTCTAATTACCTTCACACAGACTAGGGATTTAGTTAATTTGTTTATTTAATATGGATTATGTTTCCAAAGGGAAGTCAGGAAATATAAGTGAATTAATTTCACTTGATAACAATGAATTTTTTTTTCTAATCAACAAAAACTGCTTAAGGTATATGTAGCAAATGAGACTGACCAGGAAGTCCCTTTTAAGTATTTATATTCTTATTTTAGTACTTTGAGCTAAATAAGTATAAACTTGTGGAAGTGTGAAAGACACTCTTGGGATTTGTATCCATTTAATCCAGAGAATTCACAAGTGTAAAAGAAAATTTTCTTCCTTTTTCATTGTTATTGTTTTCGATTAAAAGTGCATCATTTTTACCTAGAAATATCTTTCAGATTATACTGGCACAATGAAATAAGACCCCCTCCAAATATCTGTATTCTTTCAAATTTAAGAGTGAGTCTTTGCGGCAACTGAAAACAAAAGAACAAGAAGATGATCTAACAAGTCAGACCTTATTTGTTCTCAAGGACATGAAGATCCGGTTTCCAGGAAAGTCAGATGCAGAATCAGAACTTCTGATAGAAGATGTGAGTATCTGATGTATCTAAAATGCCAAGGAGCTGGTACCTTTTTATTCTTCTTAAAATATTAAAATTTATTTTATGAAGGCATTATGCTCAATGACATAGTAAATTTAATTGATGTTCTTTTCAACTTCTACTAGCTTTAGAAAATACAAGGGTTTATTTTAATTATTACAACTCATGAACAGTGAGATCAGATTATAATCATTGGTATAAAATATCTTGTAGTATGTAGTGCTGTTTCAGTGATAAATCTGCTTCATTAAGTGAGAATAATTAGTGTTAAATAATTATTGTTCTTAATGATTAAGCAAATATCATGTTAAACCTGCTTCTATAAAGACTTAGAATGAACTAATATGGAATGGAGTATGATGAAAAGCATGGGGCCTTGAAATAAAATGTCAAGAATAGTTGAGTGTGACACTTCAGATGTCACATTTTTGGGGTCAGATTTTGAAATGACTTATGCGGAATTGTGTGTTTTTCTCATTACACACACATGTGCACCACCAAGTGGAACATTCTAAAATGGTAAAGGGTCCTAAAATTCACATTAAGATCATTGACTTAATTTAGAAAGAAGGTCCAAGTTATTGCAGTTATTTTTGGTGAAAGCATTTCTTTGCCTGAGGTTACATTTCTTCATTCAAACATCCTTTTCATTCTTAGATAATAGAACCTTGTTTTTTGGGGGACATGCATATGCACATATATATATATAAAATTTTTTTTTCTAGGGGAGATGCACCATCTAGTGGCCAGTTATGGGATAAAAGCCACAGCCATGCCCTTGGCCTTTTTGTTTTTTGCATATACTTTAGACCTGTACTAAAGTAAGCCTGTAGAAACAACAACAACAGCAAAAAACAAACACAAAAGAGACTTTCTTGCTGAAAAATACCCATGACTGCAATTTATATTATGTAGTGATGACACAGTCATAGGCAAAGCCCCCAAATATTATACATTTTGTGTTATATATATTTTTAAAAAGTGAAAATGGTAACTTGTTTGCAAGCTAGCTGCTACTTAAGTTACATCAAAGGAAATGAAAGAAAACATTGGGTGTAAAGTATTATGCTAGATGTGCTTTTATTTACCTATGTTATCTTATTTGATAAAGTTATTTTCTACATATAGCCAATGACTTTGTACCACTTTATTTTATGTATTTCTTAGAGATATTAGTTATATCCCATCTTTTTGAATAAAGTAGAAGAAAGTTAAACTATCAGAGAGTAAAACTAATATTTGTGACTATCGTGATTGTTCTATAAAGAATGTATATAGGCTTATATAATTAATAAAATATAGTTAATAATTATGTCAGACACCAAATTGTTTACTGTATATTCACTATATGTGGTAAATATTTTAATCTGTTTGCTACAGTATATATTACAAGACTGTATATTCAGAACTTTTACAGACTTGCAGAAAAACCAAAACAAAGTTGCAGAATCCTCATTTTATATAGGTGCCTTCTAATGTATTATTCAATATTTTATTACTATGAGTGATGTCATAAATCAGCCTCTAAAATAAAAATGAAAAATCTATGTCTTGGATTTCTTCCCAAATCTCATGTGCCCTAGAGACATTTGACTTTCATTCATTAGAGATTTTTTGTTTTTGTTTTTGAGACAGAGCCTCACTCTGCTGCCCCAGGCTGGAGTGCAGTGGTATAATCTTGGCTCACTGCAACCTCTACCTCCTGGATTCAAGTGATTTTCATGCCTCAGCCATCCAAATAGCTTGGATTACAAGCATGCACCACCACACTCAGCTAATTTTTATATTTTTAGTAGAGACGGGGTTTTGCCATATTTGCCAGGCTGGTCTTGAACTCCTGGCCTCAAGTGATTTGGCTGCCTCGGCCTCCCAAAATGCTGGGATTACAGGTGTAAGCCACAGATATTGTATTCTTAATACAACTAGAATAGAAAACTTTGGATGTAGATGGGTTCTTTAATTTGTATTTGAAATCTTTGCACATCTTTTTATGAAAGCCGGCATTATTTGTTGCAAGTAACATTATAGTGCTTTTACACAAATTAATTTAAAAATGGGTTTTAACCTGTTTATTTACTTATTATTTCTTTTGATGACCATTCTAGATAAAATTTATTAATGTCTGTCCCCCCAAACAGATCATCGATAACTGGAAGTATCATAAAACCAAAGTGGCTTCATATTGGCTCATAAAATTGGACTCTGTAAAACAACGAAAAGTGAGTAATGCTTAAAAACAGTTTTTTCCTCTTGGATTATGTATTAAGCTAGGATCATTAAGCCACATTCATAGACAAACTTTATATTTGCTCATTTGTTTACTCATTTCTTCAACAAATACTTACTAAGTACCTATCATGTGTCAGGCACTCTTCTAGGTTCTGAGGATACAACAGTGAACTTTTTAAAATCCATGCTTTCATAGAACTTACATTCTAGTTAAGGTGTCTGATAATAAATATGTAATAGAATGTAAGGTAGTACAGTCAGCCTTCTGTGTCTGTGGGTTTCACATCCATGGATGCAACCAACCAGGGGTTGAACATGTTTGGAAAGAAAAAGGATGGCTGTGTCTGGTACTGACAATGTATAGACTTTTTTTCTCTTGTCATTATTCCTAAACAATACAACAGTATAACAAGTATTTACATAGCATTTATATTGTATTAGACATTATAAGTAATTATAAGTAATCTATAGACGATTTAAAGTATACAGGAGGATGTACATAGGTTATACGCAAACATGACGTCATTTTATATCATGGACTTGAATATCCATGGATTTTGCTATCTGGGGTTGGAAACCAATCTCCATAGGTGCAGAAGGATGACTGTATTAAGTACTGTGAAGAAAAATACACTGAGATAAAAAATAGAGAGAAGGTAGTATTTGAGCAGAGACTTAAATGAGAATCATGCTATACAGATATCTACAGAGACAATGTTTCAAGCAGAGGGAGGAACAAATTCAGAGAACCTGAGGTAGAAATTAGTTTGATGTGTATATGAAGCAGAGCAAGGCACCATTTTATTTATGTATTTGTAGGATAGTCTGTCTTAGCTGGAAAAGAGTGAGTGATGGAGTCTTGGTAAAAGATAAGGTTGGACAGATAGGGAGGTCTTAGTTCACAACTTTATAGGCTGTGGAAAGATACTGAAATTTATTCCAATTGATGAGTAACCACTGGAAATTTTGAGTAGAGAAGTTACATAGCCTGTTATAATTTAAGGGAATCATGAGAACTACTTGTGAAGAATAGAACTAGGGGAGAGGGATTTTTGCAGAATAGAAGTAGGGACCAGCTAGAAGGTTTTTAGGGTAACTGAGACAAGAGCTAATGGGTGCCTGGCTAGGGTGGCAGCTGAATGGATGGAGGCTGGAGAAAGAGGGGGAGGGTTTTGCTGTTTGTGTTGTTTCATTTTATTTTGATTTTGACCATGTTGATGTTGATATATTGATTGGACATCCAAGTGAAAATGTTTAGTGTATAGTATGAGTTTTGAGTTTAGGGCTGATGGTGTATGGTGAACACAAATTTAGGAGTCTCCAAGATATTTAAGGTGTTGACTAGATATTACCTAGAGTTTCAAGGACTGAGTCCTAGGCCACTCCTACATGTAGAAATCAGAGAGATGGGGAGAATCCATCAAAGGGGACTGAGAAGGAGCAGCCAGTAATACGTGAAAAAAACATGAGAATTGGGTGTCCTTGAAGCCAAGTAAAGAAATTATTTTAAGGACAGAGTAATCAGTTGTGTCACATGTTGCTGACAGAGGCTGTAAGCTGAGCAGTAAGAACCGACTATAATTTTTGGCAATGTGGATGTTAGTGAAGACCCCAATCATAAATCTAGAGGGGCGGTGGGGAGTAAAGCTTGGATTATGTACAAGAGAAGAAGAGTGGAGAGCAAAACACCACAGCTACTACAGGCACTGTTTCAAGGAATTTTGCTATAGAGGGGAAAGGGGAATGTGGTGGTGGTAGATGGAAAGGGATGTGGGCCAACAAGAAGGATTTTTTTTTTTTAAGATAAAAATATTTACAGTTTGTATGATGGTAATGATTTAGAAGAGAGGAATGGCGCAGGAAAGAGGTGATGAAAAAGTCTTGAGTAAGTAAGCTGTGAGAGTGGGAGGGTTGTCCTAATCAAGAACATTTCTTCTAACAGGAGGGAAGGGAGGTACATGGGAATGTGGTGGGAAGATGGGAAAGCTTTCTTCTGGTGGGGAGGGTTCCGGAGATTTGGGGAGACAGTATAAGGTACATAGTAGCCGTCTTGGAGAGTGGGAGAGTAGAGTGGTCAACACCATGAAGGGCCCAACAACTGCACTGTAACATTGTTTTCTGGGAGATAGGCTATTTTAGTAGCAGGGTGAAGTTGTATTCCTTCAGTAATACAAACTACCATTTGCCCTTTCTAGGAATTATCATGAATAAGCTGAAACCTGATGCTGATTACATGCTGACTGTTAAATTATATACTTTTATCTGAGTAAGCTGAACTCACTGTTGCACATTAACTGGTTCAACAAATATCTACTTAGTGTCCTGCCATGTGCCACGTAGAGTGCACTGTTGATGAGGGTATAGCAAAGCTAGCAACAGAGGCAGATTGCAAAACACAAGGGAAGCCCTGAATATGTGTTTCCAAGTCACTGACTTTGGCTTTGATTAATTAAGATAAGGACTTTTTATTAGAATTGGAACCCTGAATTTCCTTAAGTCCATATAATTTTTGTGATCTAGAAGAGAGAGAAGTGTAGGTAAGTTGCTAATTAAAACAAAACAGAGAGTAAGATATTAATAATACAGGATATATGTGGCATTTCAAATGCCAGTAGAAAAAAGATGATTTTACCACTAAATGGTGCTGAAACAGTTATCTATTCGTAAGAAAATTAAGTCGGAGTCTTAATTCTCACCATATAAAAACAAACTTCATATAGATTGCAGTTTCCTATGTAAAAAAGAAAATATTAAAGATTTAAAAAAATACGTAAAGATAAGTTTATAATCTTAGAGTAGGAAAATATCTTAAGAAAGTACCTAAAACCTAGAAGGTTTAAAGGAAAACATCAACATATTTGATTACATAAAATCTTATGAAATGTAACAGGTATCTTAAAAGGCAGAAATTGTCAGGGCATCTGGGGGAGCATAGAGGAGTTTGAGGAAGACTGTTAAGTGTAGCACATAAAATGAAAAGTAACACTAACGAACCAGTACCTACTACAAATCAGTCAGCAAAAGAAACTTGCCTATAAATATTGACAAACAAAATGGCAAAGCAAATAAGAATAGCCATGAAAAGACAACTTATGGATTTCAGATAGCCATTTAACATGTAAATAGATCCTTGGGCTTAGTAATGAAGAAGAAAAAGCAAGTAAAAACCATCATATGTGCAAAACTTAATAAGACACGTGATATCCAGTGATGGAAATAGCATGGATAAAAGGGCCTTTGCTATACTATTAGAGAGAGAGTACATTGGTATAAGTCTTTAAGAAAATAATTTGTAGTCTTTATTAAAATTACATATGTTCATAACCTTATGAGTCAGCAAAACCACTTCCAGCATTCCATCCTACAGAATAATTGCCTGAATATACAAAAGATTTATGTATATGAGCATTCATCACAGTGGTAAGGTATCTCTGTGGAAAGGGCATGTGAAGTAATGGTGCTGTGAGTTTGTTGTGGTTGAGGTAGAAATAAAGGAAAGAAGCTGATAGCGTCTCTCCCTGACCCCAGGACCTTGCTTCGGCTGTGCTTGCTGCCTAGAATCCCTTCTTTACAATCTCACACCACATTTTTTCAAGGTCCAGTGCCATCTCCTTCACAAAGCATCTAGAGCCCCCTGCAACCAGATATCTTTCCCTGCTTGAATTCTTCATGGCACTTTGTACTCAGTTATCTTATGATCTCCCTTGAGAAATCTATGGATTTTTTTTTTTCCAACCCTCTAAAAAGCCAGAGGCAGGTCTCATTTTTTAGTTACCTGCAGGAGGCTTTCTATCAATTTTTGTTGATTCCATTCTAGACTCTTTGAATTCTAGACTCAATAGCAAGCTAGCTGCTTCTTTCTGTGCCCTTCTTTCCTTACTTGCTAGTGATATGTTTATTTGAACAGCAATAATAAGACAGTGCTGTTCTGTTTTTTGCATGTGATGTGAAAGGGTCTGATAAACATTGATGGGATGATTAAATGATATGTGTGAATAATAATATTTGCGAATTGGAAGAAACAATTAATTTCATATGTTTTAGGGTTGCTATGTTCAATTGACTTTCTACATGTAGAGGAAAAATAAATGCTTGTTTATAAATTTACTATTGAGTGCATATACCAATATATCTACTTCTTTGATACTGATTTACTCCAAGAATATTTGGAGTGAACTATTTTTATGTAATCTTTTCTTCCAGTTCTCAGATGTACAACCACCTTTAAGTATTAATCATACCCTGTTATGTTGAGGAGTGGAAGCACTAATGTGAGGGGGAGGAGCTTCATTACAACTTTTATACTCCGCTACCCTTTTTTTTTTGAGCTTCTTTGTTGTTTCTTCCTTTTGGTATAAATCAAAGTATTGTGTTTCCTTTGTGCTTGCAGAAAGTAACGATGTGTCCCATTTTCAATAAAAGCTTGTTAATGTCCCACAGTTTACACTACCCAAACATTTACTGTCATTGTTCTACATAGATAATTTAATAGACAATTCTGTTTTTGGCAGAAAAATGCATATCTTGAATTTTGGCTCTTAAAAGAACAGAAAGGGCTGATTTTAACCAGAGCAAGTTTATCTTGCAAAGATGCTCAATTTTATGAAGACCTGAAAGTCGCTGAGGAATGCTACTCCCAGGCTGTGAAAAGAAGTGGAAGCCCAGGTCTTAAACATGTGCAACTTGCTTGTACCAATTTTTCTTGCTATCCTCATGATTCTTGTGGCTTCTTTTCTTCCTTCAACAATTTTGTTCTTTAAGAGGCCTTCCCAAAACAGACTCAAATTTCTCAGATATATAGTGAAAGATGAGGCATGTTTGGGAAAAGAAGCAGAGGATAGCTTTCAGCAGCAATCCTTCTGTGATGACATTCTTCCTTTTACTCAGGTAATTTAAGACTCCTTACCCATGAATAACTATTTAATATAAGGAGCTTTATATTAAAACTTTAATATAAAGTTTTGTAAAACTTTCCATTTTTATAAAGTTA